TGTCTAAGGTAATTTTTGATTATGTAAACAGGAATAATTCACGTCCCATTATTCGAAGATATACTGGCACTTTAAATGCTTTCCAATCCTTGGAGATTATTGCAATTGATTGTCGAGACCTTATCTGTGGAAGAATAGATGTTAATAACTTTCGTTGGAATCCATTTCCTCATCGTCCCGTTTCGATGTGTGAGAGGATGATGGGCCAAGGTCTAAAGGTACCTCAAAATTTATGATAAGTATTCGATTTGAATTTATTTCTTACCATCGAGAAAATTTCCCATTCACTCTAGAAGCATATACTCCTCACATGTTTGTGAGACAACATGGCTTTAGGCAGAAATATACCTGTTCATCAATAAAATTTGATATTATGTAACCATCATTTATCACGTTTGGTTGTCTTCGACTCGGACGAAAGTGGATTTACATTTCACATTCTGATGTATATGAAGGATACAAGGTAAGATGTTAATGCGGAGTTTCAAGATTGGTGGAATAACAAAGTATTGCCAAATCTGACTAAGGTTCAAAAGCAGATTTTTTTCTTTTAGTGAGAATTGTAACTTTGTTCTTCATCCGGTTGTTTTGAGGCAAATGAACAAAGTTATAGCTAAAGAATTCAACCTTCCAAATGTCATTTGTTAAAAGACTTCTCGAATGGGAGAACTAAACCTTCAAAGTGAAGGAGATATTAAAAAAGATTAAAATTATAGTTCCCTTAACAAAGCTTGCTTCCACTTTTGAGCCTATCAATAAAACATTTGAAGCGGTTTTGATTCCGAGTAACAGTAGTCCTAGAGGTCAAGTGTCCCACGCCCCAGGAAAACTTCTAACTTCGAAAAATGAATGTTCTGAAGATTAGGTATGAATTTATTTATTTATTTATTCAACATACTACTTGTAATTCACACGGAACATGTAATTCATTCAACCCAATTAAGGAAAAAAAAAACTAATTTCACTAGATTAATCACGCCCCCCATATTCAACAAAAACAGAGCTAAAACTTTCAAAAATTATTCATTTTATAAGTTAATATACATATTACCAAACCATCAGCCAGAACAAGATTATCGGGACTCACTTAATATTTGATTTGTGGTGGTGACTGAGGAGGAGGAAAAGAGAAATGAGGCGACGAGGTTAGAGAAGATGAGAAGTCGTAGAATGGGTTGGGTAAAACATAAATGGATTATGGAAAATTGGAATTTGGAGATAAGGCAATTGGGCTTCAAGTTGTGGGCTGACGCACTTGGAATTTGAAGATATGGCAATTGGGCTTCAAGTTGTGGGTTGAGGCTGGGTACAAGAGGGTTAATCAATATTTCCCTATCCTTACTATATTAAAAGAGGCAATTCCTAATTTATTATTCATTTATGAAGCATTTTATTTTCCCATTTTATCCTCAAACAAACAACAAATCCCTATTATCTTAAAAGAGACAATCCCACATTTACTATTCATTTATGAAATATTATAACAAAAAGGATAACGTGGACTTTTCCCTACCCACAATTGTTGACTCTTATCTTTATCTTCACTACTATCTTAAAAGAGCGAACCAGGCAGTTACTGTTCATTCAGGACGTATTTAGGTGTTTTCCATTTTATCCTCAACTCCCTTGCACCGTTAAAAAAAAAAATGGTTGACGTCATACACATAATTTTTTTTAAGAAAATGACGTAAATCATATTAAGAAAATTTTCGCGAAAAAATAATAAATATTAATAAAATAATTAATTTTTTTAAAGAAAAAATGACGAGTTATACGCATTTTTTAATACACACATTTGATATATATTTAACTATTTTAAATATTCATTTAGATCATTCGATGTGTCTATAATATAGTTCTTGAATTGAAGAGAATATATCCCTACTATATGAAAAGAGGCAATCCCAATTTACTATTCATTTATGAAGCATTTTCTTTTTCCATTTTATCTTCAAACAAACAACAAATCCCTTCTACTCCCTACCATATTAAAAGAGGCAATCTCCCATTTACTATTCATTTATGAAGCATTATGACAAAAAGGATAACATGGACTTTTTCCTACCCACAATTGTTAACTCTTATATCTATCTTCACTACTATCTTAAAAGAACAAATCAGTCGATTACTGTTCATTCCAGACGTATTTACGTGTTTCCCATTTTATCCTCAACTCCCTCACACAATTAAAAAAAAAAAAAAAAAGTTGACATCGTACACATAATTTTATTTTATTTTTAGAAAATGATGTAAATTATAATAAGAAAATTGTCGCGAAAAATAATAAATATTAATAAAATAATTAATTTTTTTAAAGAAAAAATGACAAGTTATACGCATTTTTTAATATACACGTTTGATGTACGTTTAACTATTTTCGATATTCATTTAGATCATTCAATGTGTTTATAATATAGTTCTCAAAATGAAGAGAATATAGAAGATTTATGATAGATTTTTATAAATAAATAAATAAATATATATATATCACCCGGTGAAAAAAGAAAAAAAATTGACAAAAAAAAAAGATATCAATCACCCAATAAAAAAAATTGACATTGAGTATCATTCAAAAAAAAAAAAAAAAAGAGCATGAAATAATTTTTTTTCCTTTTTTTCTTGGTGATTGATATATTTTTTTATACAAATTTATTTTACTCTTATAATGTGACACAGAGTATGTGAATCATGTATATTGTTTATTTCTTAAAAGTGGTTGCAATAAATCAAAGTAAAATTTAATACTCATTCGAAAAAATGTCAATTAATTTATTTGACGATATTGAATATTTTAGATGTATATAAATTTTGGAGGATTAAATTCAAATATATCAAAATTGGATGATTAAATAAAAATCTCAACCCAACTTAAGTGACAATATTATACTGTGGCTTAACTTGTGTTTGGCTCCATTAAATCTTTTTTTTTTTTTCATTTTTCTCTCTTTTATTTTCAATCACAGAATCTTCCATAGAATAATATTACAAGTAAATAAAAAAAAATTCATTAAATCGATTGGAAGTTGAACAATAAAAAAAATTCGATTATTAACACGATTTAATTATATTGAATATAGTTATCATTAAATACGTCATTTATATGTAAAATAATCACTCAAACTAAAATAATGTTTGATATATAAATTATGAGCTCCAATAATTTGGGTTTTAATCCATGCATCAAGGGAGCGTTTATCCTATCTCCAGAAAATATATTTCAATTATAACAACACAAAATTGAGGCCAACTATTTTTTCATCTTGATTATTTTAATATCTGAAAAAAAAATTATATATAAAAGAAATTCCATCATTTTTAGGAATTTTTTTTTGTTATTGTTACTTTTTCCTCTCGATCAATTAATTTTTTAAATAATATAATAAAAATTTTGATGTTATTTAGAAAATTTCCTAATAAACTTTTAATTTTTTTTTTAATATCAAAAGAGATATCATTTAAAAAATTAAGAATTTCGATAACAAGCTAACTTTAAAAATTCATCAACGATTGTACAGTAGTCGAATGCATAAATCTTCTATATTCTTTCGAAACCCATTTCGAGCACTATATCATAGACATATCGAATAATCTAAATGAATATCGAAAATAATTAAACGTATACCAAACATGTGTGTTCAAAAGATATTATATATATGTTTCGGTAGTTCTTTTTTTGTATATCTTATGTGTATCGATTATTTTGGACAAATATGAACTTTTTTTGCTTCAACTTGAACTCTCAAGTACATTCATGTATATTATCGATTAATAATAATATATGATAATTCAGAGTATGTATCATATATAAGATTACATTTCCATTTATCATTTTAAACAATTAAAATTTGTAGATTTATTGAGAGAAATGAATAGATATTTTGAAACATTAATATTACCTAAAAAATGACATAGCGTGTGTATTGCACGGGTGGAAAACTACCATTTTTTAAAATCCCAAAATTTCTGTGAGGTCACTTGTTGACCCCGCATGACCCTATGTGGGTATGTTCCCGATGTGCATATAAATAGATGAATGTTGAATTTTAAAAGAATTTCACGTAAACTCAACTTATAATCAAGATAAGAATCCTATTATACATCTAATTAGTTATAGGATTATATCAAAATTAAAATTTCAAATTTAAATCAATATTTGTCTGTTTATTTATGTTATAATAGATTAATAAATCTTAAAGAGACATTTGTAGACATAAAAATTAATAATTAAATATTTAAATGGGTCGAGTCAATTTTAATTTATTAGCACATTTAGATTTACTAACAAAATCTAAAGGTCCAACCTACATTAAAAGCCAACCCCACACTAAAATGCATATTCTACTTTTAAAATTCAGTAAATAAAATAAAACAAGATAAAATAAAATGAATCAAATCAAATCAAAAGTGGGCGGTTATGACTCTCTCTATAAATAGAACCAAAGATCCATGTAAAAAGACGAGTGAAAAGTGCAGAAAAATTCTAAAGTCCGAAGAAAATAAGAAAATCTCTCAAACCTTAGTTCGAGAAACATCTGAAAAATCAAAATCTTCTTCAAATTTAAGCAAGTCTAAGACAAGTCCAGAAATTCAAATTATTCTTCAAATTAAAGCAAATTAAATTCGTTTCCCGAAGTTCAAATTGAAGTATTAAAATCCAAGACTAGATAAGTGACTAACAAGCCAAGTTTTGAACAAATAAAGTTTCCAAAAAACTTTGAAGTTCATGAATCAAGCCATATGGCCCTTCGTATTCAAACTTCCAGATCTTTAATTAGAAGATCTTACAAACCTGCACTCAGAACATCAACATCTACGTGTATTTGTGAAAATATAATTTGTAGCAATAACCGTATTTTAACACACAAAATTTGGCATACAATACCACTCCTAATTCATTAATTATTTATGTGGTTTTGCTTTTTGTTAGAGAGACATTGTGTCGTCTTTTCCAACCTATCATACATATCATCAGTGTTGTACCACTTACATCAAGTGGATCATACACATGAACAACTTCATTGCACAACTTCTATTCAAGGATTGCTGAGTACATGGAGTGACAAAAACACACAATAATATTGCATGAAGTGGGATGTCCACAGTTTCTAGAGTCCAAATTAAAGGAAAAATTTCACACATTCCAGCCATGTATACGTAAAGTACATTCATAAATGGTATTATTTTTCATAACTGCATTTTCAAGAATGAAGACTGTCTAAAAGTTAACTAAATCCACTGTCTTGAGGCTTGGTTCATGCAGCCAATTTACAGCTAAAAGCAGTCATACGTTAAAGTCATCAGAGATTCATATTAAGTCCATTTTCCAACACTTTAATGGGAAATAATCTTTCGCTGCACGTGCTTTGTGAAAATGGAAGCTGAGATGGAGATATAGAAGCTTCGTCTTCAGCAAAATTGATGCTTATCCATGCCTGCTGAATTGATGCTTATTCATGACAAATAGCTAAGACAGCACTATTTCAACTTCATTGAGATGGGAACTCAACCAAAAGCTTCAATCTGCAAAGAAAGCAACTCAATATCATTACAGCAAACAATTTAGTATGGAAAACTTTTCAGGGACAAACAAAACCCGTATTTTTGAAGTACATCAAACAAAACTCATCATCTACTAATCAATTTACAACATCTAAACAAGTGAATAGACAGTTATCACACTTGAATGCACACCGGTTTCAAGAAAGAGAGAGAACTACAAGCAAATATGGAGCAATTTTGTATAGATGTTTTGCTCTCCAATCAACTGTTAAAACATCGTCATTGTCGTCATCACTTGATGATTCTTCAGGTCCAGACTCCTGTGTGACTTCAGTACCTTTAGTAGAAACAGATCTAGCAGCCCTAGTCTCCAACTTCTTCTTCCTTAGCATTTCTACTCTCTCCCTGTAAGTCCTGAAGACATCACCAACAAAGGTGGTAATATTATTTGAGATCCCGAGTAAGTTTAGGTAAAATGATATCCTAACAAAGTATCCTTTCCCCACAATTTTTAACTTACCTTTGCTCCACAGACTCTGCTTCTTCAATAGTCACAGTTGCATCAAACTGCAAATGCAGCAGCAATAATGTCAGTGATACAAATCCTTACCGTACAACCCTGGATTAATTTAATGGAAGTTGGAAAAGAATGTCTGGCCTCTTCTTCTTCCAAGCGGTTGTCTATCTCTCGTAAATCCTCTTGGACTAACTTTTCAAACTCCTTATATTCATCCCTGTGCGCACACATCACAATTCAGCTTTATTAATTGAAACAAATAAAAGAGTGCAAATAGTTAATGCGGTAGAATGTAATCATGAATCAGGATGAAAATTATTGTATTTCACGGTAAAATTAGAGATAGTGAATTATAGATGAGTGTAGAACATTCAGTTAGAATTTAGGCAAAGCAAGACAGACATTCATCTGCATTATGAATATTAACCACAGCCTCTGGGAAAAAGCTAAAAGCATAATGCTAATCTTATCATTAAGTCCAACAACATGATCTTTGTTTGATAAGACAAATATGTTCAGCGGACCACTTCTCTTTATTTGTAATCAAATTTCTCTACAAAAGATTCGATCAATTACTACCTCCTAATCCCTGAAAATCCAGACTTTATCCTCCAAAAAATGATAGTCATGTGTGCATATTTTAAATGTTAGAATGTGTCGTCACAGGAAAATTAATTTTCATTCTAACTTAGCCAACATCATTCATATCTTTGAACATTTTATGATGAAATTCTCAAGTTAAACGGATAAAAAACAAAGTAGTTCTGATGAGCACAATAATTTCAAGTTCCATACCTTTTTACGCTAAAAGATAATAATGCCTCAGGACCAAACATCTTCCATAATTTCACATCTCACAATCTATGACTTCCACAATACACATTGAACAACTATCCGCACTACATTTGATATGAAATTAACTGTTGAGCAATTAAATTGTCCAACCAGCACAAGTGGCACATTGTTACATTTTGGTCCTATCTATCACCTCAATCAACCCAATTCAAGTACTCGACATTCCTATTATCCAAAATAAGAAGTTTTCAAATGTCAGAAAGAAATCCCACTTTTTCTGGGCTCATGAATTTGGAAAACATCACCCTCTGGGAACAATAACTTCATAACTTATGGTGCCAAATAGAGGAGTACCTTGTGGCATCATCTGAAGGATATTGAGCTCGAAAGAGTTAAAGTAATCACAATCGTGTGAAGGGGGTGAAAGTCATGTAACTGCACTGGCAAAGAAAAGAATAGCCCCGTTTAGTTTAGATAAAAATCAATTTTTTAGTAGATTTTGATAAAAATAGATGAAACGTGTGGTTGAAAAATTGATAAATGTTGTGAGTCCCGTTAAATGAGTGGCTAAAAATGAGCTTTAGAAAATAGGGGCCAAACAGGGGTTATGTATAGAGAAGAAATTAAGACGCTAGTAAGAAATGGTAGGACATCTACAATGACAAAACATTGGATTAGAAGAAAAGTCTCAATATTCCTTCTATAGCTCATAAGGGTAAAACTAAATATTACAATTTTATTGTACCAAGATGTTAAAAATTGTTAAAATTTAGTAACAAATGTAGACTCATAATCAACTACTCAAACAACAATCCAACAACAGTTCATGGAAAATCTCGTATGGATACACAGATTCTTAAACAATTCCCAAATTCACAAAAGCTAGTGGATGTGTAAGTGAGAGAGTATAACTTTTGGGTGTGGGTGTGGGTGTGGGGATGTGTGTGTGTGTGTGTGTGTGTGGATGTGAGAAAATTAAAGTCACATCTGAATCACATGATTCACATTCCTTTCAATGAGGTTATCATATTCTCACCCACAAATTAATATGAGAATATCAAAATGCATAGCTATAAGGAACTTACTTGACATCCGGTTTTACAGGCGTAATGCCTCATGCACGTAAATCAGCATTTTGGTCATCGAAAAATTCTTCAGGAAGAGCTCTTTTGACTTGCTTAGCTTCTAATTTAACAGCTACTTTTGACCCCTGTTTGGTTTCCTTGGAAGCCTAAAATTCAGAATCTCTCGTCTCCACTAATAGATGATCTGTCTCACTCCCTAAGACATGTGGCTCAACCACTTGAGTATTTCCAGAAATAAGATCAGTCTTGGTGTGTTTATCAGGATGTCCCAACTTTCCAAAATTCCTTTCTGAAAAAGAACAAGAAACTTAGATTTACTAGTGCTGTTAAGAAGGATGATACACGTTAAGAAAATACTTACTATATGGATTATCAAGGTACTTCAGAAAGTAGTCATAGCAGTTGAAATACATAAAAAAAACATGAATACTTGTCAGAACACAATTGACTCATAGGAAACTTAAGAAGCCAACTTCATTTCCAGTATGCTGGCACTCAATGATAATTAGTGTCAAACTTATAGAGCTTTCAGTGTTTTAAAATCAAAACTTGACTTTTGATATGACTTCATTTCTAGGCCTAAAACTTGTTCCCCCGGACCACTACATTTTTAAATTAGATCATTGGGGTAAAATGACATTGCACACAACTGTAATAAATAACATACACGAAAACTAACTTCCAGATACTTCTATCATATTAAAAAAATTGACAATCATATAGTATCATAATTACTAGACTAGAGCATAAATTAAGACAAACTGCCATGGTAGCTTTCATATATTTCCCCCTCTTCTAACATACTCTTTTGAGAATGCACTACTTTTACTATCCGGAGCACTTTTTAGATCTACAGACATGTCCCAACACTTGTCATTCCTTTCACTTGGATTCAATTGGTGCCATTTTTAGTTCATATTTGATAGTTTGTCCTTCAAGTTTATCATTTAGTATCATAAAACATAACAGGTTGAATAAATGGTCTACAGAACTAGCCTTTAGCTTCATAGGATCTTATACATGCGATTCTGTAACACTTCTCCATTTCAACTAACAGAGTCTAATACTAAGCATTACATCAGCTTCATTTCCTCATTTTAGGGCTCCTAGATCAACCATCTTATATGGATATTTAACGAGGTACCAAACTAGTGAATTCCGTAGCTTTTGTCAGCCAAATTAATGAGGTATCAAACTGAAATCGGTAACTTCTTATGTGCTACCCTCATTTGTTCAATGAGAGATTTCATGAGGACCAATAGTAATGGGCCCAAGCATGCAAAGACTATTTGGAAATAAAGAGAGATGATACACTCCAAAAAATCTCGAAGGTTAAACAATTAAATCATCATTGACAAGTCATCTGTAGATAAACTAATTATCCTACACTGACTGTATGAATTCTATAAAACCATACGGACATTGTGCCCCACCCAAAGAGTTAATCTCCTTCATAGACATGAAGGGAATAGGAAGAAAGTAATATTCATAAACAAAATCTTACCACTTTTCTGCTTCTTTGTTGCGTGATTATCAAAAAAATAAGAAAGAAGAGAAGATGATGATCGAGGTGTATGCAATACAGTTGAAGGTTCAGATTTCTTATGCAACTCCTGATAATGTTCAGATTTCGACTTAGGCAACTCTTTAGGAGGTATGGGCTTAGAATTATTAGCTTGATTTAGTGCAGCAGCATTAGCTTTGAGGTTGTTGATGGCCTGAAAAAGGTCAAAGCATTGCAACAAGAAAGCTTCAATTAATCAGAAAATATATGGTTACAAACATATAAACGAAACATCTACAAGAAGATGATATCAATTCTGCTTCAAGATCTGAAAAACGTAAAATTAAGATTTTCTTCTTCTTCTTCCTTTTTTTTTTTTTTTTTTTTTGGAGAGGGAGTTCGGGGGGTACTCACAGTCAAGTAAGATTTAAGTGCAACCAAAAGAATATCTTCCAAAAATTGCTATTGATGGTATGAAACGTTACCTTCCTTCAAGTTCTTAATTTCTTTGTTATTTTGAAGCCCCAGTTCTTAATTTCTAGCTCCGAGTTATAACTTAAGAACTTCTAATAGGGAGAGAAGAGGAGCCATGGTTTGGGTAAAGAGAAACTTCAAGTTCTAGATTCCTAGTCCTGTTTGTAGATTGGGGTTTTTTTTTAGGGTGGTAGAAAAAGAAGCCATGATTATAGGATAATATAAGTTAGAGTTGATCACTAAGGCTCATCTGATTTCTAGGTAAGAGAAGAAGAGAAAATGGAAAATTGTTAAACTTCTACATTTGGATTTGTAGAGAGAAAGGAAGTGAATGCTTCAAAAGTTGTACACCATTTTTTTGTGCGTACAAGGTACATTGGCTCCCCATTTCTCTACAGTCACCTCATAACTGAATTACAGCCTTTCCTTTTCCACTAGGCTAACAGATCCTTAAAGAATATAATTAGCACATCAGAAGAA